ATCTGTATTATTTAAGGTAACAAGAGGGGTGCAAACTTTATCATCTGTATTATTTAAGGTAACATGAGGGGTGCAGACCTTATCATCTGTATTATTTAAGGTAACATGAGGGGTACAGACCTTATCATCTGTATTATTTAAGGTAACATGAGGGATACAGAGCTTATCTGTATTATTTAAAGTAACATGAGGGGTACAGACCTTATCTGTAATATTTAAAGTAACATAAGGGGTACAGGCAGATATTTTCCGTAGTGCTCAGAAATCATTTTTTTGGAGTTTTGTAACTATGACATGACATTCTGAAATTGCATAATTGCAGAAAAAATGTACTAAACATTCAACTTTCAATAATAAATGCACATAGATTTAAATAAATTCACTTTTGTTCTGTTCTAAATAGGTGATTTTCTCGCACAATATGTAAAAAGATTTGGATCAAACACATCGCAAAAATCAGGTGATTTGATTTTGAACTTTAATTTCAAATATTTAAAGCACATTATTGAGCAAGTAAATACTTGAAAATTCTTTTGCATTCATCAAATTCCATGCAATGTCATGATGCCACTGCAATGCTAGTACCTTTGTTTTGTTTTTTATGTTCAATTCAATGCATAAAGCCAGATCTCACAGTAAATGGAAAATGGTATATTATGGCAGTCCACTGTTATTCAGAATAATTGCAAATCCAAGCGAATCAGTGAATATTTCATGCACACGTAAATATATTCAGTCCATCAAATATTTCACTTAACTTTCCTGAGACTCCAATGAAGCTCTAAGAAAGACTATACAACTTTAATATACCATAAAACAAGGTGTGTACGACACATTAATACTCATGTAAAATACTTTATTTTCACTTCAGTGAAAATAAATTCTAGCGAATATACATTTTTTTCTGTATTTTACATTCTACTTTTCAAAAATCAGTGAAAATAAATTCAATACAAAATACCCATTTAGTCTTTTCAGTGAAAACGAGGTGTGTACAACACATTAATACTACCGGTAATGTGAAATATTTTATTTTCATTTCAGTGGAAATAAAATTTAACGAATATACATTTTTTCCTATATTATACATTCAAAAATCAGGGAAAACAAATTCCATACAAAATACCTAAATATTATTTTCAGCGAAAATTAATTCTAGCTAAAATAAAGTATTTTACAGTATAGCAGGATGGATAAAATAGATTTATTTTCATTGGTTTGTAATAACTTATATCACGTACACCGTCAACAAGTGGTTTACTTCTCAAGAATGCCCCCCCCTCAGAGTTTAATGACCTACTTAAAGTATAAACACTAAAATTTAATACATAGGATGTCATCAAATATTGTGAGTTAATTCTGAGTTAATTTTAGAGTAATCAGCTGCAATGTGATGTCTCCCGCAGTGGAGGATGTCATCAAATATTGTGAGTTAATTCTGAGTTAATTTGAGAGTAATCAGCTGCAATGTGATGTCTCCCGCAGTGGAGGTTGTTTACTGATCACTTTGAAATGAAACAGCTGTAACAATCTAAAACAGAGAGCACGTAATATTTCTTATCTCTAAGAACTGTAACCAGTTGATATATGGACTGGTGATAAATACTTAAAGACACAACTCTGGCACCGTGGGCCACTATTGTTGATGTTGTAAGTGGGGCTTCTGCAAGTGTAAAATCAACAAATATGCTAACATCATTTATTTCTGAGATTATATAACAATAATTATGTAAGGAAAGAAAAGACTGGAATTCCAACTCCATAGGGCAGTTGTGTGTTTAAGCTTTCCACCACTAGTTCACTCTTTTCATCACAAATTTAGAAGAGTGGGACAAAAATAGCCAACTTTTTTTTAGTAAAAACTGAAATCAACTCAAATTAGTGTTCATTTCCAGAAATATTAAAGAATATAGGAAAAAAAGTACGGACAAATTTGGGTGAGAAAGTCTAGTGGTGAGATATGTTAAGTGATTCCTTATGTAACGATATAGTTATAGTCTGTAATGTGTGTACAGAGTACATTCAAATTCAGTTGATCGGAGGGACTGTTTCTTTTCAATCATCGCATAAAAGTCATACAAGGCCAATACATGCATAGACATATACACTGGGGTGAAATTCGTCAGATGTTGATGTCAAAATCTGATGTAATACAGGGACGGGTTTTTTAATGGTCAAACATTTTGTCTCCATCCTTACATAGTTTTGAGTACTAAAAAAAATTACAGTAAAATTGGTGCTTAACTACTGAGCTTTAAACCGTGTTTAATATAATTATTATAAGCAGAAATCGCGTAGGGAGTGTTGTCTGACTCATTGTGACACGAAACATAAAGTTTAGCAGCACTCACTGAGTGCATGGAGTGGAATATGAAAAAATAACAAAATAATTAAAACTCAAATCACAATTCAATATTATTTTTATCATCATGATGGTATATCAATTAAGTCAATATTGAATGATAAGTTCTTTATTTGATTCATTCATCTTGCATTTCTACATTTCTTATTATGTTTGATGACTGTGTAAAGTTTGAACATAATTCTTCCAGATGTGTTCGATATAAGGCTCCACAAAAGCATTCATTAAAACAAAATGGCCACCAGTTGGCCAATTTTAATATGATCTGCAAAACAAAAGGATGTGCATCAAGGTCACATATACTGTCCAATGTACATGTTATGAAGTACACATGTTATGAAGTAATTGGGGAATTGAAATCTATGAAAGCAGATCTGTTTTTTAAATTTAATGTTCTCTTACACATAAAAAGAGATAAACAATCATAATATTTTATTTAAGTGAAGCGCAGAACACCATGACTAACACCTCATTAGTTACTTTATTAGAAACTATCAACGACTTGAAAATAGTGAAAGCAGACAAATAAATCACGCACTACTCATGATCAGCTGCCAGTACAAACATAGGTGGTACTTCTGACAAGAATTGAGTACGTGACAGTTTATATTTACATGTACAATCCCTACATGCAATTTAAATTTTGCTTTCCAACTTTGCAGATATATGAAACATCACTCCTAGAACTAGCTACAAACATAAAATGTGTTAAAATTATGCTGTTTTGATAGTTAAAAAATAGTAAATATTAAAATGCTAGATATCCAGTCTTCATTTGCATGCTTATTTCATTTTGGGAGTACTTGAGTGCTAGTATCTGCATTATAATCTTCATCAGTTTCTATTGCTTACAAACCTACCAGTAGTTTAATTTAATAGAACCGCTTATATTCATATTCTGCATTTAATTTCTTCATCACACATCTATTGCTCAGAATTTAATGGTGTATGTATTGGTTGGTGAATAGTATCTCACAGATTCGGAAAGTGGAAATTTAACTATATACATCTAAAATGAATAATGTTTAAATGTCTTCAAACCACGGATTTTGATGAGCACAGTAGTGACCCGGATAATGCCTTAATACAAAGACCAAAGGTTGCGTTCATGCCTAACTAACATGAAAGAATTTGCTAGAGATGCAGGCCAACGTGTGATTTAATGAGGATGGAATCCAGTAGTTAACAATAACAATTACAATGTAAACTTCAATTACTGTCCGATTTTTATTGGCAGTGACATTTGGATAAATATTGATCAGTTAATAAAACATTATTATATACTTCCTCAAAAGCCATGAAATTGCAGTTGTCTTGGATTTTCCCACCTAAAATTGTTAGATATTTTCTTCACAATTAAATTTACCGTATCCACTCTATTAGTAATTACCATATTTAGTCTGTTAGTAGCAATTACATAAATGTGCCTATATGGTCAAAATAATTTAGTCTTATTTTAATAATCCAGCATATAAAGAATTGCCTTCCAAATAATGAAGTCGAAGAAAGAAACCATTTCTGCAACTACAGTTGTACATATACAGTTCAAGACCCAAAAAAAGCGTTCTTTATACATGTAACAGGACTGACTCATTAATAATTCTGGGTATACAGACCCACATTGCTATATATTTTACAGGACAGTCTAGGCATAACTTTATTTCCAAGCTGGCTTTGCAATTTCATTAAAACTTTTAATTTTGTAAGCTAGTATAATTGTCATCAATATTTTCAACTTATTCTTTGTAGTATTTACCTCGGTTACTAACATATTTAGGCAGATAAATCTCACAATTTGACCAAGTTTACTGCATGGTTACCTGGTTTTGGGTCTAAAACAAACAGCCAAGGGACATGCTGGGATGATTTTTACAATGACAACACAAGTGCAATGCATTGTGGGATATGTGTGTATAAGTAACAACAGTTATAGGGGAACACACAGCATGCACTGAGCACTATAACTGTGATGTTTTCCTGTTGAAAGAAAACTATCAACAAATATAACGATAATACTTTAATCAGTGCAAAGATTATACTTTAATCTTTTGAACCCCACCTTTCACAAAATAAGCTAGGACACATAATTTTTTCATAATTTTGGTCAAGACTTATTAGCAATGGAAAATTATGTCCATTTGGTTCAAAATTATCAAAAAAGTGATAAAAAATACAAAAAAAAACCTTTTCATCCCCAGTTCCCTCTTTTCATCACAAATTCACAAAATAGTCCTGTTTACAGAAAATTGAGACGAAAATAGCCAAATTTTGTAGGTAAAAACTTTAAATTGACTAAAATTTTGTCTGTTGGCTCCAAATTTAGCATTTATTCCCAGAAATAATGAAGAAATTAAGAAAAAAGTGCAGACAAATTTGGGCGAGAAAGTCTGGTGGTGAAAAAGTTAAGCTGAACATTTATACCTAGTTGAAGTAGAACAGGGTGAAGAGGAAAATAATTAGTTTGCTAGTATATACACCCCTAAAGGGATTGCCAGGAAAATTATTAAAATAAAATTCATGTTAATATTTATATGACACAAACGTTAGTTATATGCAATTAATGGGATTGACCTCAAGCAGAAAAAAATATATGACACGATTGTTAAAAAAATTTACAACTTACCGATTCCTGCTGATCGGATTTGTTGCATATGATTATCCATCACGTCAACGTCACTAGAACTGTAACACCCTAATTCTGGATAAAAATTAGATCCGATATCATCCGGAGGCTGGTGGCGACCAGTTGGCCACTTAGTTGCTATTTTTTTATCCCAATGTTCGATGTACCCGTGATTCCAATGGACGTACTTCCTGTTATACTCTGGATTTCCATACCAGGGATAGTAAAACACATGGATATTATAATTTGGTGGAGGGAAATTGTTTACGAAGTGATCAGCGTCTTTAACTAGCGATTCCACAGTTACAACTTTGGGTTTATTGTTATTATCATCAGCCAGTTTTTCTGCACTTCCCAGTTTTAGACCCGCAGCAACTTTGGGATTCAGCCCCGCAAACAGCTCCACAGATTTATCAAGAATGTCCGCTGGGCCTCCATTATCACCAGGTAGAAATTTCTGCTGCCCGACTTTTGAATCAAGCTCCTCTGAGTTTTCTGGATTTTTAATTGATCCCTGATCAAACTCGATTTGAGTAATGCTTATCATCATGTACAAACATCCAAATGCAAAACACACAAAGACGAGGTAGAAAAATAAATTTTGTTTTCGGCATAGTCGAGCCATTTTTGTTATATCTCAGCAGTTTTGATATGAAAAAGAAATTGCTAGAGTAGAGAAATCATGACAAAAGTTTTGCTGCTGCAACAACTGTCTTCATTTAATCTGACAATCACAGCATTGTAACTTGGACGATCCCTGTATATGAATAACGCATTCCAGTCCAGTTGATATATTCCGCAGGTTCGTGAACAACAACATGCGAAACACAGTAGGAGAAAATGTACGTCCAATAGCTACATGTAGGTGAAAGGATCCAGTAACAGCAACCCACAGGAATGTGTCCATGTACATGTAACACAGTTAAATAAATATCATAACTACACGTCTCTGCTTGGTAAACGGCTCAGATGGATCATTACGATTCGTCAGCAAATATATGAATGACTTTTTAATGTGGACACACTGTGGACCATATACCAGCACTGGAAGAAACCATAAATACAATGACACACATGTTTATGCATAAGCAGCATAAATCTCATAGGGGGGACTGACCTCATAATATGAACTACCAGCAAGGGTAATGTCAGCTCTTTTACAGAGCTATGATTGTAAGCACTAACGAGTGATACTCTTCATGAGTGGGAAGATTACCTACAGAGTATACTTGTCAATTATGGATTAGCTGCTTTTAATCTGTAATATGACAGTTTATCCCAAAATAATAATGTCATCAACAAGCAGCTAGGGATAATGATTACAGCCTTAGCAGCAGATCAAATGACGTTTTTTTAACGACGACAGATAATACAGTGGTGGAACACAGCAACGCCAAACTAAAATAAGAAATATTGTCATGCTTCTCATGATTAGGTTAATTACTAGCTACACGGATGATTGGTGTACTATGACTCTGCTCGTTAGGAACTTCCAAAATCTGTTCTACTTTCTGGCTTGTTGACCTCAGGTCATACAATATCCGCAAGCGCACAATTGATAAACACGCAAATGCTATCATTTCGGAAATCAAGAATTAGTGTCACTGTTTAGATGATTGGAGACAATTTGTAGCTAATCCCCCCCCCCCAAATATTGAAATCGCTGTTACTGTGACAAGGTCGCGTGAGTTGTGCTCTCCGCAGTGTTCCAAACCCAACACGCACCTGACAAAACGATGTAGTTTTTCACTTTCCCAGTGATTTTTTGTCAGTACCAATCAAATTGCAGGAACGTTAGATAGTGACAGCCATCAAAGAGTAACCTTGCGACTTTGTAGTATCGATCTTGCCAGCGAGACATACACTATTCTGTTAGGCGTTAGTGGGGTCTGATGCCATTTGGCTGGCGAGGGCGCCACTCACACCTACATGTCAGGCTAGAAAGAACTAAACTAAATGGATTGGAACTTTCTCGCTATGAACTTCATTTTCAAAAATGTTCGCCACCTTGGAGATGCCCGTTAATAGTTCCATATTTTGAACTCTCATTTACTAATATGGTAGGATGTTGATACCCTGTTCAGTACTGCAAAATTTCATCATGCTGTAACTATGGCGATAGGAAGACAGATGATAATTGATCAAATTCATAGAAAAAACAAAACTTAGTAAACGGATTCATACATGTGTATGCAAGTAGTTTCAGCAAAATGGTACTCTATTACAATAATAGATCTCTGAATAGGAAAAAAATAATAATCTTATACATACATACCCAGAAAACATTTACATCAGTTTTGACGTAGTGTTTATCATCAACTTAGTATCAGTTTGCAGTGAATAAATAGTCCTGATTCAATCGCATGCCAGTAAGAACATTTGTATTAAAGTAAGGCCATGTCCCAATAAGGCCACACAAAATAAATCCTGCGTTTCTAGTAACTCTACTTATCCATATTTTGGGTGAAGAGTGAAAACTTTTATGCAAATGAGGCAAAGATTATTCATTTATATGCTAATTAGCTATGGTCATCCACCAATGGTGTATTTTTTTTATACATGTAGTAGGTTATTATGAGAATACCGCAATGTATGCATTCGGTGAACACATCAACCGACGCATAGCGAAAGCCACTGTGTTACTGTACAGCCTGAGGGCAGTATTCTCACGATAACATTATTATTTTATCTTTTCCCTGTTTGTAGAATTAATTTAATACGAGATAACAGCCCAAATTGGCAATAAAGAATGTTACACGCTGTGCAAACGTTTGTGTTCTATTACCATCATGAGCTGATAGCACTTCTATGTCTGAAGGAACAACGGAAAGTGTTTGAATGTGATGTATACATGACGCATAATTCCATATACAGGAGACATTCAAATGTGACAGTAATTTTATAGGTACGGCGTAGCATGGATGAGTAAATTCTAATTGTTTTCAGTGTAAGATGTCTAATACTAAAGCTTACTTGTATAATAAAGGAAATATATCATTGAAACTTCAATTCATTCAAAATGTACACCTCAAATATCAAAGCAATTGGTGTTCAAGAATTCAAAATATCGTTTTTACAAAAAATTACAAAAATATTTGCCATTGATTACAATATCGTCATGAAATGAAAAAAATCTGTCAGAGGTCCACCCAAGGTACATACCAAGTATCAAAGCAATTGAGCTAGTAGTTTTCAAGAAGTCAAAAATGAAGATGACGACAAACAATCACCTATATGAACAGCTCCACTTTGATATCTACGATGTTAGTGGAGTTAAAAATAGGAGAAAATAAAATAAAAAAATACGTAAATTTATTTAACCAGTATTTTTTTCCCATGTTTCCAGAAACACCAGATTCATTTTGTTTGGCCTAAATTATTGAATCTCTATTTAATATTGGATTCCAATTTCTTTGAATAGCCATCCATTATTAAATAGAACCACACAGAACAAAGTTTAGTTTGTAACATAATTGCCATCCATTCATACACTGAAGAGCGAACACAAGCAAATTTAATTTAAGATTTAATTTGAGATTTCCGAAAAATGTGATTAGATTAAAATGCAATACACAATAACAAGTTGTTGAATAAAATTTTGTTTTACGTTTAATGCATACCAAACAGTGATCTGAATGATCGTTTTTATCTATACATTCCCATCTATACATTTATCTCTGCATTCCCATCCAAATGTCATGTTCATTTATAAATTTTTAAAAAGCATTGTAATTTTAGTTTGGGAATAAATGATAATGGGTTGCCATTTATTGCGAGATAACAAGGCATAGTGGATGGATGCAACTCTGTACTGCCTGAGAGCATACATTTTCTTTAAATGCGGCACTCTCTGGATTGTTATACATGGTTTCTCTGTTTGTAGTAATAATTTACCAACAGATAACAGCTAAAAATATCAAAGAAAGTCTGTAAAATCATTTTTTTTTGCTTGGAATTTATTTCCACTATTATTTATCTAACTCTAAAAACAATATGCAATTGCATTCATGTTAATACTGTAAATTTTTTTTTTTCGCTTGGAATTTAATTTTGCTATTTTCGCTAGAGGGAGGATTCAGTGAAAATAAAATCCAGCGACTATACCTTTTTTTCTATATTCTACATTCAACTCATCAAAAATCAGTGAAAATAAATTCCCTACATAACACCAAAAAAGCCTTTTCAGCGAAAATCAATTCCAGCCAAAATAAAGTATTTTTATTTTAATACAGTACATGATTTCTTCATCCACAAATGCGCAACAAGGACATTAAACAAATAAAATTTGCTAAAAGTTACTCCCTAAAAAAAGAGAAATTGAAATAACTTTACAAGGTCATATTATGGTAGTACAGGAGACATTTACTGACAAAATAATAAAGTGGCAACCAAGGTCATATGATTCCCCATATCATACATGTACCTATACTTTGGCAGCAATATTCAATTGAAAAGTGGTCACAAAGTAGGTATGTTAACATAATTTGTCTCCTGATTTAACTACAAGTCAGTCAAGCAGAACAGAAGAACAGACTAAAGAAAAAAATTAGGGCTGGACCATTTAAAATATTGAGGGAAGGAGAAATTTGGGGCGGACCATTTAAAATATTGAGGGAGGAGAAATTAGGAATGGATCATTTAAAATATTGAGGGGAGGAGAAATTAGGACTGGACCATTTAAGTATTGAGGGGAGGAGAAATTAGGGATGAATCATTTAAAATATTGAGGGGAGGAGAAATTAGGACTGGACCATTTATGTATTGAGGGGAGGAGAAATTAGGGATGGATCATTTAAAATATTGAGGGAGGAGAAATTAGGACTGGACCATTTAAATATTGAGGGAGGAGAAATTGGGGTGCATCATTTTTAATATTGAGGGGAGGAGAAATTAGGGATGGATCATTTAAAATATTGAGGGAGGAGAAATTAGGACTGGACCATTTAAATATTGAGGGAGGAGAAATTGGGGTGCATCATTTTTAATATTGAGGGGAGGAGAAATTAGGGATGGATCATTTAAAATATTGAGGGAGGAGAAATTGGGGTGCATCATTTTTAATATTGAGGGGAGGAGAAATTAGGGATGGATCATTTAAAATATTGAGGGAGGAGAAATTGGGGTGCATCATTTTTAATATTGAGGGGAGAAGAAATTGGGGTGCATCATTTTTAATATTGAGGGGAGAAGAAATTGGGGTGGATCATTTAAAATATTGAGGGTAGGAGAAATTAGGTGTGGCTCATTTAAAATATTGAGGGGAGGAAAAATTAAGGGTGGAAATATTGGAAGCTAAAAATTTAGCAACAATGAATTTTTATCATGGATGTGAGAATAAAAAGCAAATTTCCCCTACATGCCTTCTTCTAAGGCTAGCCGTGGATCTTTTTGTTGCCTGATACTCACATACCGACTAGATAGACTGATAAACGCAAGATGATACATCACGTACATATAATTAAGTGTGTCATGTCTTCCATCTGAATTAAGGCTCATTAGCGATGAACATTCACTGATGCAAGTTTTAAATAACCATTTTACAGTAATTTAATGTGAACGTGTCGCAATGTTGTTTCCTTATTTCTAGTCAAGTAGTGAAATGGTGATTTATTAAAACCTTAATTA